GGGGGGGAAGGGATGATCCAGCTTAAATGAAAGCTGTTGATTTGGTCTTGTCAGCTTTGGCTTGTTGCAGAACATTGTGAAAGTAAACAGTGCTCACACTGAAAGCATTGTACTTGAAAGCTTGTTATAGCAGTGCTTTACTGATTTATATTCAGGGTTTGTTCTAAACCTCTAACCCTGCAAATATGAAACCTCTGACATTAATATAGCTAGAACCGCTTGACATATACTCCATTACAGTGTCATCATGGCTAAAACGTAATAAATCAGCATTTACCTAACCAGCATGCAGTTTTCTTGAAGGGAAGCACTGTTGAAGTCTAGATCCTGCTGCATCCTTCATAAGCTCCATCATTTCAGGCATCACACTGGGACGTAACAGATAGGGGCTGTCCTTTACCTCATGCTTCCAATCAGTTCTAATGGAAGAACCTGTGAGTTAAAGCATGCTTTGAGAATTGAACAGCGATGTTGCCTCCCAGCAGACTTGTGCCTCCAGTGAAATAGATCCAATTAGGATCTAAGACTTTCTCAACAACAAGAAAAGTACATTTTAACTGCTGTTAATCAAAGACCCAGCATTGCATTAAAGGAATTTGTGTGTGTGTGTGTGTGTTTTTGTGCTGAATTAAAAGAAAAGGTAAGAACATGGATTTTTAGAATTGTTCAACTTGGCAAGGGTTCAAGTATGATTCTTATGGAAATAATAAAGGAATAGTTTACCCAAAAATGAATGATTTGCTGAAAATGTACTCACCTTTAGTGCTCCACAAGACTCCAGTCCATCAATTAACATCTTGTGAGGTGAAAAGCTGCGTGTATGTAAGAAACAAATCCATCAAGGCATTTAAAATCGTTGCTTTCAGCTAAAATATGAAGACGATATCCATAATAATGCTTTCTCCAGTGAAGAAGTCTCCTCGTCTAAATCAGGAGAGAAATATGCACAAATCAAGCACAATTTACAAGTGAAAACAGTTCTAACCAAATATAACAAATTTTGCTTTGAGAGGACAACATGGGATGGACTTTTTCACCAGAGAAAGCGTTATTATGGAGTATGGACTCGTATTTTCATACTCGTACAGTTTACACTTAAAATGCCTTGATGGATTTGTTTATTACAGACATGCAGCTTTTCACTTCACAAGATGTTAACTCATGGACTGGAGTCATGTGGATTACTTGTGAATTATTGCAATGTTTTTAACAGATGTTTGAACTCTTATTCTGACGGCACCCATTCACTGCAGAGGATCCACAGAGAGCTAGCATACTTGTTTTGCGCACTCAGACAAGCCATTTTGAATTATTAATATGGGATCAACTGATTGGAAATGATTTTTAAATGGCTGCTCTATGTAGTAGAGAGGGTAATTTGCAATATTTTCAACATTTTGTTTTATTTTATATATCTATATATCAGCACGAGGCCACAGCCGTTTAAAATTTCAGTAGTGCTGTCGTTATACTCGCTATGTAATAATACTCCTTTTATACAACAGTTCTATAAACAGAAAAAAAATATAAATGATGAACATATTTCTCTCCGCTGATTCAAACACAACAAACCCACTAACCAAAAGCCGGTCTGGAACAAAGTATATGAGTGGAAGGGAGCAACAGTTCTATAATCACTCCGCTCCAACTCCATTTCAGGTTTTCTATTTCCACTGGCACTGGAATGAAACCCTGTGGAGAAAACAAAAATGACCTTAGGTCTACTTTTAACCTACTGTTTTTCGAATACTATGAATTTGGACTCTTAATACTACTCTTTTAGTGTACTGTTTTTCGCATACTATATTGTAGAGAAGTATTCGATTTCAGATATCAGCTATCCCACACAAATTAAATATGTCGTCTAACCTGACTAAGGCCTGTGTTTGCCAAGGCTGTACTCCGTCTAGCTGTTTGTATACACCTTTTAAGGTGGGGTCACATTTACGGTTGCTCTGCAAAATTTCATGGGCAAATTGTTACAGGAATCCCAGCGATCTGGAGTTTTAAATGAGGGCGAAAAAATCCCCATGCAGATTTTGCTTGTTGTTTAAGGTTTGAAAGTGACTTCTCTATGAACAGCAGTCCGTGCATCACTACACAGTTGACAATAGACAATTTTTTGCCTGTAAAATTTCACTAATGTGACCACACCTTTATACATGCAAGTGTGATACTCATGGCGTAGGATGCTGAAAAACAAGTGAGACATGATGCAACAAGCAAAATACGTCTGATACATGTGCACATTGGCAGAGAATTAAAAAGCAGCTCAGAAGGAATTGCCCGCTGTATTCCTGGGGTAAACACACACAGTTGTGGTGAGCTCCAGGGCAACCAAGTATGCAAGTGTGTGCTGTTTTGGTCTGGGTTAGCCTAATGAAGCATGGTCTATTCCACCTACATTACATAACATCTTGTGATTAAAAAAAGAAAACTAACCATTAACCATCATCCTCCCTGTTTATTCCCAGTGTGCATTCTGAATTTGAAATCGGAGGGCACTGTGACTGACTCCAACCCACACCTGGCAACCTGCTGTGAGCTCCTGGAACTTATACTGCGGAAGGGACTACAGCGTGAGCTCCACACACCAACACACACTCTCCTGTACACCTGCACATCATCACCTGTCAGCAAACACAGTACAAACACTCAAATAAGAGCCATCATTACACCTGGCACACACTGTGGGAAAATCCATACACATTACAGGAGTTTACAGATAATAAGGATGTCTATATTGACTATACAATAGATGTTTGAACGCACTTAACTTAGTTTATTTTTCTCATAATTTTATAACCTTTTTGACCTAAATGCTGTAGCATCTGGACCAATCAAACACACAATATATATTTTGT